TTATTTAGATTCTAGGCGCCACGCTGTTATGCGCTCATATTGCCAAGATCCACGTCAACTGAGCTGATTTCTTATTTACATTTTCCAGGCTACGATTCGATCGCTGACAAACGAATTTCTTGTCGTTTTTCAACAATCTATTCGGTGGTCGCCCGCCGCTTCTACGTTCTCCAGCCAATTTTAATTTGAGTGAACGACAAAAAAAAGTTTAATCGACAAAACAACAATTATATGGCTTCAATATCATTTGGCGTTACTATGCGAACCTCAAATACATGTACACAGAAGAAGTGCTGCAGACATTTCGTGCTGGAGGCGGAGAGTATTTAAATACGAACATTTGCGCTCGAATAAATCATCGAAAAATGATAGAGAGTATGAGTGAACCGCAATTAGTTACAAATGCTGCATTCGATAAGATTGCATTAAAGAATTGTGCTCGTTTGTATTTAATGTAGCCACTTCAATTCCAAACACTCCAACCACGACCATCACCACCACTACTTTTCAATGTAGCCGAATTTCCACAGCAATCAAAGAGATACGCATAAGCGCTGAGCAAGTACTTCCATAAAATATAATTAATGAAATGCCATAAAAGTGATGACCGTAAAGACATAACCTATAGTGGGAAACTATAGAGTTTGGTTTAATCGAAAATCGCCCTGACATTAAGCGATTAGCTCACGCCCAAGTGAGTCGCACTCGCATTTTGTTTGTGTGTACTCGACGGAGACGACGACAGAGACGGCTATGATGATTACTATTACTATGCGTGGCATATCAATTGATACTCCATACAAATTGTGTACACGATACATAAAACAGATATGCAAAAACGCAATTATGTCGCACTCTCTATTTATTCTCAATGCCTTTGCCATCGTTCTTGTGACGATTGTCTGTCTCTTGCCAATTGAAATGCATGTGAGGGTGATTGTTATTAATCTGTACAATGGTGATAATCTCAAGAACGTACGCATCAAACGCTTTGAGTGCTAGGATTCGTTATGGATTGTTGAAAAAACGGCGAAGAAATCATCGACTGCCAAATGCAAGCCAACGCTTATCGCCTCATATATTTAAGAGTTGTGCAATTGTTTACACATAGAATTCGATGGAAATTCGAATCAACTAAACACAAGAATTCGATTTATATAAATAAATCAAACTTGTATATTTTCATGACTTTTCCCAACCAAACTTGTGTATTTTCTTAACTCGTCGGTTTCACCAGTCGCACACTTCCAAAATGTTTAATTGATGATAGATACGTGCCGAACTTTGCTTACTCGTGTCCCTTGTGGAAAATAAATCTGCTTCGTTGTCAGAGTGGAAAAAACAAACAATTTAACATTGAACAGATGCACATCGAGGCTTCCGCGGATCCATCCCACATGGAAACACAAATAAATCATTCGCCTGTTTTATTTCAAACAAATTTTTTCAACCAAAAAAAAGTTAGCCTCTCCCATGACAAAAACAAGTGCTGTCAATATAAATACACTGTAAACACGGCATAAAATTTAAAAGTAAAATTGAAGAAACAAAACAAGAACAATACAAAAATCGCCGTAAATGGTAAATTCATTAAAACAGATTGTCGTCCAACAGAAGAGTTACGGATACATTTAATTGTCCGCATAATCTTTCTCAGTTGCCATAATTCAGACATGATTATGGCTGGGCGTTTGCCGTACACATTTTTTCCCTTTGTTCTACTGTTCGGTGCTTGAATGCGAACAGACATATGGTTCAACACCAACACACATGTCGACCATCATGGCTTCTTCGGTTTGATGGTACATTCGATGCGATTGTGTGCGTGTAGTAGGTATGCATGGCTGTGTGTACTCTGTTGCTAGGCGACCGATCAATACATCCGTCTCTGTTGTGCGCACATCCATTATGGCCAACCATTTCCAATGCAAATCTATCATATTTGTTCGGATTTCGAAAATGTTTTGCTCGTCTAAATGAGGGTCTTTATCAGCATACACACTTTAAATTCAAATTTGATTGAAAATAATGTCGTTCACGGAATGCAAACAAACCATCAACACGGTTAAATGAACTGAACGGGAGAAAGAAAGGAGAGAAAGAAAAATGGCCCCTCCTCTAATTTACACCTTTCTTTCGCTCTCTTTTCCTTGTTGTTATTCTGTTATAGTTTTTTAACGAGCCTTTTTTAAAACTTTGTACCATGCTAAACGCCCATAAATTTCATTTCGATAAAATTGCATTTTCAACCATAAACAAATCTCGGCTCTACTTTTTCTTTTTTTAATTTTAGAATCATTGATTCTTATCAAATGTGAATTATAATTTTTTACCCATTCAAGTAGCACAAACAACATTTTATGTCGTTGAAAGTGTTTTAAAATGTAAAAAAAACTGACTATTAAATCTTTAGAAATCAAGTCCGAAATGTGGGAATGAATCACAATACGTGTTGTTTAAAATTGTTTATTGGTCAAAGATTGGCATTTTCGTTTTTCTTATGGTCACACATTTGCATTTTCACTAACACTGAAATCTAATATAAACGATATATAAACATATCAATAAAAGCGGTCATAACGAGATGTTATCGCATATTTAGCGAGCGATTTAATGTGCGTAAAATGGCATTGCGCATAAAAGGCGTCATTATCCTCAGTTCATTCACGCGCGCTCATTCACTAGCGTCGCGATTTTATTAACCTCAATCTCGTTTCTATTTTAATTTGTGCCCAATGCATTTTTATGTCATACTTAACTAATGCGGAAAATGCAGCATAGTTCAAGCGAAAACCAAACTCACAATTCCAATTCAATGTAGCCAAAACAAATGTTGTGTCAATAACACGGAGAGACGCGGAGTGTGGAGATGCTTTTTTTTGAAAATGGTACTAAGAATTAGTTGGCTCGTTTACTTTAATCAACTTGAAAACCGATCACTCTTCCAATTTCGTCGCCATAAGACGCATTAATGATATAAGAAAGCTAACAACAAATATTGATTTACGCCTAATTTATTGAAATATATTCAACGACGCTCGGCATGTACTACACAGCAAGAGCAGCATCGAACAGCATTCTTCCATTTTGATTAAAATTGTCGCATCCCATTAAATCGAATCTGAATTAATTTATTTCTTTATTCAAAAATTCATCTAACCATAACATTTATTGAAAACGGTTTAAAATTAATCGAACGCACACAAAATGAATTCAATCGGTTTTGGAACGACAGAAAATGCTCACAACCGATCAATGACACGCGCACACACGCTTAACTTAAACGGTAAATACGATTGTAACACAATATATTCATTAAGAATGAATTAAAAGGGAATTTTTTTTAATTGGCCAATGCCCATATCTGTAATCATCACTCAAGCGTAGCTTTTTACAACATTCGCTGCTGAAAATCTTGAGCATAGTTGTCGCTTTGCTTCAGAATGAAATCATTTACACGAGAATTTACTTTAAGCAAAAAAAAAAATGTTTTTCTCTGAACCAAGCCTTTTTTGCATTGAACTTCAAATCGTCGTTTGCTCAACGCCTCTTGTGCGTTCGTTGCTGCGAAACAAAATAAAACAGAAATTATCCGTCGATTTATTTTGATCTTCCATTTTCAAAATCACATTTAATTTGCCATTTTTTTTGCTTCTCTCCACGGCCGAATGAAATCTCCTTTGGATGGTTTGTCGCCATCATCAAGATCATCAACGGTATACATTTATGGATAATCCGTAAGATATAAGTATAACTTAATTACATCGCAGCCGATTAACATATGGCTTGAGCATGATGCGTTGTCGTTGCCCTGTCTATACTGTTATTCGAAAACAGTCAAAACCTGGACAAACCGTGCTCAATGCTCAGCTCATACTCGTTTTTATCTCTTACTTAGTTTTTGTCGGTTAATTTTTCTTAGTCACTTTTTGCCGAGATTTTTTTTCTTCTGTGGTTCGTACTCAATTGTTCGTAGCTTTCTAGTTTTAGCATGTTTCGCACACGGAAATCTGTCAATGGTGAAATGAACGCAGCAAACGTAAAAAGAGCGTTTACAACCACCATAGTGATCACGGCTAACACAGAACAGTTATATAAACAATATAATTGCAAGTGAGGAAAGGCCAGAAGAAGAAGGCAGAAAAAAAACATACACACACAAAATAAAAACACGTAACACAGATCATAAAGTCATTTAAAAGCAACGGAGAAAAAAAAGCAACAACAACAGCACAAAATATACACATATCGAATATTGCATTTTTATTTTCATCTTTATGGACACTCAGCTCATTTGTTCCTACTTCCCTTTCTCTTTCAGTGTTGTATTTCTGTTCTTTTCGGTTTTATAAATGCGTTTATTATTATTGCGCACATAAACTGTCGTCAAAATGAGACATGATCGTAACGCAGTCATAAACAGTGACAAATGAAACGATAACTGAGCTTATCAACTTTCTCGTTCTCGACCGAGACAACACTGAGAATGCCTTTCTTCTTGCACCCGGCCGATAAGAGAGAAAGACAGAGCAAGAAAATGGCCAAATGAAAATTGGACAATTTTTCAAAGTTACCGAGAATTTTCGAATTTTCGAGTTACATAATAAGCGGAACGAACATTTGGTGGTCATAAACCCTTTGCATAGATGCCTTCTGCTTTTCCAATTGTTTGATCCTTTTTTTGCAAATTTAGTCGCCATGTGATGAGGCGACCTTGTATTTTACGCCACAAAAAAAGGGAAAAAACTTACAATGTGCACAAAACTAATGGCTTTTTCCTCGTATATTTATTGTCTCCAAGAACGAAATTGAAGGACTTGCTTGTGCAATGAAAAGAGTTAACGTAAACTGTCGTCGTCGAGGGTAATAAACAAGATGTGTTGAAGTTGCGTGAAGATAATTTGCTAAACGATTTTTGTTGAAAGGTTCAACAATTTGAGCATTCAATATATTTTCTTTGATTATTTCCATTTTCTTTTTCTCTCTTCAAAACAATGCAGCACCAAATGGATGTCCAAGAAGACGAGGTCGACAAACATATACACGCTTCCAGACACTCGAACTGGAGAAAGAGTTTCACTTCAATCACTACTTGACACGAAGGCGACGAATTGAAATTGCTCATGCATTGTGCTTAACCGAACGTCAAATTAAAATCTGGTTCCAGAACCGCCGTATGAAATTAAAGAAAGAGCTACGCGCCGTCAAAGAAATCAACGAACAGGTGAGATGGAGATTTACGAGCCATAATTAACAACAGAAACTATTCTGTGTTTTTTTTTAAAGAAAGTAGTAATGAACTTGGATTGAGTTTTATCCATATAGAATGAATGCCATGGAATTTTGGTATTATTTTTATGAGTGCATTCGGAAATGTTAAATTTTGCTCTTTTATTGGTCGGTTCTTGGAAAATTGTAGGCACGTCGCGATCGCGAGGAACAGGAAAAGATGAAAAATCAAGAAATCAAGTCCGCCCAACAGCAGCACAGCAACAAGCAATCGCATCACCATGATCAACATTCACACATCGTGAATCAGAATTCGAGCGGTCATCTCCATCATTCGGTTGTACAGAATGATCTGAAACTGGGCTTAAGCATGAGTGGTGTCGGCGGCATTGGCAGCAATTTAGGTATGATGACCGGTTTCGAAAAACCGAATCAAGATTTATTAAAGTCTGTCAGTAAAATTAATTCGTAAATTTCCGCATTTATAATTTGCACACACGAACCCCCATCAATCAAACACAAACACACGAACACGCAAACATCAAACACATAAACAGCCAGTTAACTTCTATTGAGTAAATAACACTGAATTCATGATAAACCATCGCACTCACGCTACAACGCAACTTTGATGTGAAATGGACAGTTTATGCGAACAAGCCGAATGAAATAATGTTTAAGTGCATTTTTCGAATGCAAGAAGAAGAAAAAACCAAGCAACACAACAAAAAAGCGAGAAAAAATATCTTCTATATATATATAATAATTAAAAGAAAGCATTGTTTGTGTGTTTTTTCTGTTTTTCAATTGTTTTTTCCATTTTTGTTTCTCACGTTCGAACAGTTCTTTAAGAATTTTCTTTTTCATTTAAGTTTTTCGTTGCGTCTTATGTTTGCTTTCTTTTTTCTTTTTCTCTTTTTTTTTTGGAAAATTTAGGAGCGTCGTCAGCATATTTGTCATAAATTCCACTTTTATTTATCGCATCGATATATTCTGATAGTAATTCGGTCAAGTCAATGGAAACGCAAATTGTGCTGTGCGTCTCTCTTGATGCGACCAACAACATAAAACACGCACTCTAATTGCTCTTAATGCCAATATACCATTACATGAATGGTTATTAGTCGTAAAATACATTTATTTTCCCGTGAACAAATATGTCATTTGAATACACACTTACAAGAGAAAAAAAAATTATAACATAAACGGAATAATTGCACAGAAAGAGAAAGAACACAGAATAACACACATAAAGAGAAAAAGAAAAGGTGAATGTAGAAAAACGGCGAAAAACAAACAGGAGAAAAGAATGAAAAAACAGAAGAATCTCATAATTCTTTATACGTAACAAACAAATAAATGTAACCTTAGTGTATAATGTATAAGTTCAAAACAAACCTAAACTAAACAAACTAAAGTATATGTAATTGCAAGAAGTAAAAATTCAGTTAGTACTAAGAGTCAAGCCCACAAACATCTTCATCAATCAAGAAAAAAAAAGTATGGAAGAAGCGACGAAAAGTTCTAGGAAAATTTGGAGTTTTGCATCGATTTTCCGATTTAAATGAAACGTAGTTTGCGAAATTGAATCGGTATTGTTTGACAGCGAAAGGAAACATGGGAAGAATGCTCCCAGTGACAAGAAAACGAAATAGTGCTTAGGGCTTCGTTAATTTTGATTTCGAATTTAAGTTGGCATTAATAATTTTTCAAGTAATTCATTTCTTGTAAAACGTATTTTTTTTCTGTTGTGATTGTATTTAAAATGATGCGTTAGAGGGTGAAAACATGATTTTCTTTTAGTTTGAGATAAGGGAGCATACATTAGTAGAAACAAAAATGGAAAACTTAGTTGGGAAGTATACGATGCCAAAACGTTCAAAAGGATCGACGACTGATACAGCGCGTCTTCATAGCTTTTCAGGCTTCCAACTTTGCTTTTTTTCTCTTTTGAAAGTGCATACGTAATCACCAAATTAAATTAAAAAAAAATCAGTGATAAAAAGAAAACATTTCGAAAAGTATCCATTTGTGCAAAAATAGAAACCACACGGACAAAATTATTGAGCGGTTATTATTGTTTCGACACTTTCATCGCTTTCTGTTGATTAAACAAAATTTATATTTAGATTTTCGGTTTTTTAGTTTCCAAAACTTTTTTTTGGCATACATTTTTTTGAGCTAATAAAGGAAAATTTTGATCTCGTTTTGCGATTACATCCAAAAATTCATTTGATAGTCGTTAGCATGTGAATTTGTGCCATGGGCTTGGATTCTCAACACGTGAGTCGATCATTAGTTTAATTTCGTTGAGAGTAAGTATCACAAAAATGCAATTTCTGTTGTCAATCGAATTTTCAATGTGTAATCGTAATTTTTAACGCTCAATTTTTTTTTTTCAAATTTTCGTGACAAAACAAATCTTAGCCATAGTCAAACAATATATCGATTTCACTGCATCCCTCCAAAACAACGCGATTCAAACAAACGCAAAAACAAAATAACCGATTTATGTAGACAAAAACAAAGTATTAACCGAGAAAATTGCATTGAGAGAAGAATCATGACAAAACAAATGAGAAGAGAAACCATTTACGTGTACTCACAACAACGGTGAAAACACATACTCAGTGTGTTTCACAGATCACAGCATCCATTTCATTCACATACGTAATAAATAACAATAAATGCTAAAAGTTAAGCAAAACAATTTAAAGGAAACAAAAAAAGCGTTCATATTTGCCATATACATAATTATATTTACATAAAGTTTTAACGATATGGAAAAATAAAATAAAAATTTATATATATACACACACACATTATACAAACAAGATTGAAAAAAATTACATGATTTGGGCTCCCTCCTGACACAAGTTGACGAAATAAACATGCAAAAAATCGTTCGCGATGATATTGAGAAGGAATGAGCACACAGCAAAAATCTATTTACATGCAACCTCCGTATAGTGACCATGTGAACCGTATATTGCACACATAAAAAAGAAAACAATCTGAAACACTGAATCGATACAAATGTTTTAAGTCAAACACCGTGTGTCAAAGGAAGCATCATTGAGTCATGGCCATGTTGTGGCGAGTTGTATTGCCGGTTTGCAGGACTTGTATCGATTGAATGTTTTTCTCTTCCTCCTCCCCCCCCCCCCTTAAAACTCATAAATACGTACTAGATGTGTAAGATGAAATGAAAACAACAATTTTAAACAGCAAAATCCGTGAATAAACCTTAGTTTAGAACAAACCAATATTTAACATAACATACACAAAACACAAAATATTATAAACAAGCTATTAAGAATATTAAAACAAAATATCTACTTACATTATTACTATTTACATGATAAATTACCTTCATACATAATGTTTAAGAAATTGAAGAAACTCTTAATATTGCAACGCAACACAAGAACATTTCATTGTTTTTTAGATTGTCTAGGGCAAGCCGATTTTTGACAGAAAGACAGATGAGTGTGAAAAAGAGAGAAACCTCCCGAGAAACCGAGAAACAGAAAGAGAGAGAGAGAGAGAGAGAGAGAGAGATCAATAAGGGTGCATCTAGTAACGCAATAAAAGAATACATTTCAAACAGCAAAAAAGGAAGATCATAAAAACCAATCGGAAATTTTATGAACATTCGAGTTGTAATTTTAACAACTTGACAAAATTGTGAACCCTCAATAAAAATGACTCAATTTCGTGAATGTTTTTATTTTCTATAATGTAGTTTTGTTTAAAACAATAAAAACCGATCGATGTATGGGATTAACATCGAAACTTCAGTTTTCTTTTCTTCTAATCGTTCTCGTTCATTTTGCAAGATATAATCTTATATACTACATGAGAAGCGACCGCTCGAAAATAGCGCCCGAATAAAACCATTACGATTTCTAGTGAAATTTAGCAATTTTTTTTGTTTATTTCCATTTCTGTCCATAATGTTTTCCTTTGAAATAAGTTCCACTTAAACAAATTTTAATCGATTAACATCCATTGTTTCTTGTAATTTGTTTTTTTTTATATATAAACATGCATTTTGTTATTCTTTAGTTTTGCGCGAGATCCCAATGAAAATAAATTATGACCGCCATTTTTATAAGTTTGAAATTTTGTTTCATTTTGCTTCGTCTTTAGGATATGCACGATAAGTAAAGAATTCTTCTTCTTTTTTTTGGCAAATTGTGATTTTTGGCGATTTTTTTGAAATAATTTTGAACATTATTATTGTTATTATTGATGTCATTGATACTCTCAGGTTGGCTACGGAGTTTTGCAGATGTGAAAAAAGTGAAAGAAAAAAGACTGTCGTTCAAATTGCGAAATCCTCAAGATACGTAATAATTTTTCTTGCTTAAAAATATCAAAAGAAAACCGTTTGTATTTGTTCCTCTATTCTACCAACTTTTTGAGAACCGCATCAAATTTACAAATGAAAACAAAATACAGTTGGAAACAGAAATGTTGATGTCAAAATGAAACGAGCGTGACGGAAATTTCGAAACGCGCACAAACATCTGAACCTCATGAGAAAAATGTGTTTCCTTTCGAAGCGAAAACTTTCCCCATTTCATCGATTCCAGAGCGATTTCATTGAGCAGTGTACTCAACTCAATTTGTTGCACACAATTTTGTCCGTCTTACACAAACTGACTGACACACTCAAGTGTGCATATATATCTGATTGGCAATCGACGGTTAGTCATTAAACCTAAATGCTTGCATTTTGAAACTCAATCCTCAAGCAAAGAATCTCTTGCACTGTCTCTTTTTATGAAAAAGAATTCGTAAGTGGAATTGTAAAAAAAAATCGAATATTTGAGAGAAAAACAAGCAGATGAATTGTAATTAATTGAAAAAAAATATAATTTATTTTCTCTACATCTTATCATATTATGTACTTGTATGTAATGAACAATTTTAGTGAACACAGAAAATTGAATATTTAAAGCTAGAAACACACAAACAACATTACAACTAATTTAAACGAAGAAAAAGAGAGAAAAAAACATTAATTAAGGGTTATTGTAAAACATCAAAATGCCATATAATATTTTTCAAGTGTACACGTAAACATAAAACAATAATCTAGCGTAAATAGTGTAAACGCGCGAATACTCAAACAAAATTGCATTGCCGTAGTGTTTCTATATTAATGAAATAAATTTAGACAAAGACAAAAACAAAAAAAAATATGTATTTGGTTTTATTTCCCTTGTTGTCCTGCCCGAATTTTTCTCCATTGGCCGATAAACGATTGCCCGAATTTACGTGCTTCAATTTGGTGAAAATGAAAGCATACTGACACTTTTCGACGACTTGCAGTAACGAAGTAAAATTTTATTGAGAAAATCATCGTATTGGAGTCGACGAACGGTCGAGACGATTGATTTTCTCGGTTTTTCTCTTGAATTGCGTTCTTCTCTTTTGGATGAAAAACTGAACTCCTTTTCTTGAATATTTTTATTTATTTATTGGATCAAATGGCGTTGCTTCCAATCAAACATCAACAGAAGATTTTGAACAGATGAGGTGCGAAGGCTCTGCGCACTACAGTTGTAAGTGATGAATGATACCTTAACCCGTTAACGCCCACCGTCCTATTTTTAGGACGCAAAAATTGCCTAATCTTCGATGACTTATTTTAGATTTTCTTCTATCCTGATCAAACGGCTTGGAATTTTCACATGCCATTTTGCATGTGTGTTAGGAAAGGTTTGAGAAATGTTTTCCCCGATTTTCAAGGTTTTCCAATTAGCAGTTTTCCGGAAAATGCCGGAAAATTATGAAAATTTAAAACGTGCCGAAAACGGATCAAACTCTGGGAAAATCATATTTGGACTCTCAGAAGTATCCCGTCAGCGAAAAATTCGAAAAAATATTTGGCTTGGGCGTTAATGGGTTAAACAAAATTTCAAACTAATCCAAAGCTCAGTGTGAATCTTCTTTAGTTGAAAATGCATCTAAACTCAGTCAGGTAATTGGAAAATAAAAGGCTTAAAATGAGCATTCGTTCGTTCGGTTGCCTATGAAATTGACGGTGATTTTCGGTTGGAAAATTACCTAAAATATTCAAATTGATGTATATTTGCCATAGGCCGAACAAAGTTCGGTGTCATGTTTTACCTGAACACAACGAGAGACCCTATTCCGTCACTGAAAACAGCATATTAAATATTCAATGTCATTCGTTGTGAACCATTGCGCAAATCTCGTTTCATTTCACCGTCAAGAATTTTGGAAAATTTATTCCAAAGTTTTTATCAGTGGCTCCCTTTTCGCGAGATCGCGCGCTTGAGAGAAAGCCGAATATCGTTTGGTAATTTTTGTGATTTTACTCACTTTAATTTGTAAGTGAAAGAGAGAGAGAGAGAGAAAACGAAAGATACAGGGCAAATTACATGACAACGTAATATCTAATGGCTTGAATTTGTATATATACTATAGTCATTAACTTTAAATTAGTTTTTTTTTCATTCATTCATTCATTCTGTGTTACGTTGCCGGGATGCTGCGAAGTAAATCCCATTTAAATGGAATCTATGGATGAAGTTATTATCAATATGCAAGTGCTGGCGGAATAGCAGCGAAACAATACAATTACATAGCGCAATAACCATTTGTTATGTTGGCATTTTTGCCGTGGCAAATGGAAACCAACAAAGAGATAAGCGTAAAAATAATTTGGATGAATGTTTTTTACGAGCGAAATGCAGAAATAAACGGGCGTCTAAAAGTGGGACAGAGAGGATACGAGAGGGTAACAATGGCTTCCTGTGTGTATTTTAACGAGACACACCAACAGACGATTCAGTCTCTTTCCCACTCTCGCTCACGGTGTGGCAAACAAAAACCCAATTTTACTGCGCGCTCAATGAACACGATACCAATCTATGGTGAATGTGTGGCTCTTCTCTGTGCAACAGAAAACAGGACATCAGCGCCTAAATAAACAAGTGTTGCCGCGGAGTCGCAGGAGTGAGAGCAGAGCAGGAAAAAAATGTCTGCGCGTACAAAGAAAACACTAATTAAAGTTATAATTTTCGTTCGGATTTAAAGAAAGGCGAGCGAGCGAATGAACGAACGCGAGATAAAGCGTGTACATTTACGAAAAAGCAACAACTGCAACACATTTGGCTACGATTGCGCCATATTTTCTACTTTCTTTATCAGAATATATGAGCCTTGTAATAAATATTACAATTACATTGTCGAATAAAACAGGCGAAGACCCGAAGGTACGGACCAATCTACATTGTTTGCGAAAAACCAACTCATTCCTTTTTCCTCCTCTTCTCGTCCATGGTTTCGATTTCTTCGACGCCGCGCTCTTTTTTCCGTTCCTTTGGCCACAGTGAGGTAAATGGTAGGGAGTGTCTCAGATTTAATTTTATTTATGTGATCCTAATGTGTCTACAACATTTGTTGGAGTTTTTTCTTCCTCTCTCGCTCGTTTTGCTGTAAGAGAAAAAAATGCGCAGCAACTGTGCTGCTAGCAATTTTTTTACCGAATAATTTCATAGACTGCAAAAAGAATATCCACTATCTCAAGGCTCTCGTTTTCAAGAGCTAAAGCGACAACCGAACAATGGAAATAATCCAATAAATTCAAACTTACATCATAACGGTAACAAAGATAAGTTTTGAGGAAGATGACTCATATCCATTGAGTTGACCGCATTCATTTTGATTGGATTTTGTGATTTTTTTTTTTCGTTCCTTTTTTTGCTCGTATGTCTGGCTCCTGATTGGAAAAATGATTTATTTCCGATATTTCAACTACGTTTACACTAATGAGGAATGAATCTTTAGTCGGATTGGCCGGCTTTTGTCGATCTATGTCGGTGCCCCAAAAATTGCGTCAGTTCGTAAACGTTCCATGAAAAAAGGTAATTAGGTGCAAAGCGTTTAGGCGCAAATGCTGCGCGCAACATGTAATAATAATTAATAAACTAACATAATAAATGCTGTCAGCTTTCTGATTGTAAAATATAATTGGCTACAAGCGAAAGCACCACTAAAACAGTAAATTCAGTGACCCAAGACGAATTCTACAGCCAAATTTATGACCGCCCCGAATGTACAATCACAACATAAAAGCAAAATGCTATTGGTTTTATTGCCAATTTTATTTTGACACTTATACGACCTTCGAAATTGCTGGTCAGAATAACCTTTCTCTAGGCGGTTTTTTTCCCTGTCAGAATGGCACAGCGAGTACTAAGTACTTAGCACTCAGCTCGATCTCTTTTCATAGCTTGAATGTGCAGCAAAAGAGCATTTCGCAAAATAAGCCAACATTCAGTGGATTTGACGTAATCGAATATTTCACAATTCATGCAGTCAAAATGGAAAAGGAAGATTTGTTGCTCTGTCAACAATAAAGAAAAAACGATCCTGCTCATTTTGCATTGAGAAGGACTGGAATGAATGCTTCATAAGCGTTTTTCATAAACGTAAACATTAAAATGATTTCCAAAAGGACTCTGTTGGGTCTGAACGGAATCTCGATTTTCCTCAAACTCACAACTCACGCCACACATTCGTATTTGCCAAAATATCCGCGCGAACAAGTGAATGATGTTTCCCAATTCGCTAGAGAAGATTTCAATCGGCGTCTATCTATTTAGCTGTTTATTTGTTTTTCGTTTTGTACCGAAATCCTCTGTGATCGATAAAAATATTCAAATTGCACATCTAGCAAATCATAACCGGTTCGGATTTCGCAGCTCTGTCCGCTGAACCGAAAGGGGATTCGGAAAATAATGTGTTTGGAAAATGGCAGGCGAATAGCATATGGCGTGTTGGAAAATGCCCTCACGAAAATGCACCAAATGAGAATTAATAAGATTATTTTGCCGTTTGATTTAAATTTATGTACATTTTCGCATAAATATACGTTTATTGAGTATTCATGTGGGAGCATTGTTTTCGTTTCGACTACACCGTGTACCAAACCAACTAGTTTCTAGCACATTCACGGGCACTATGTATGCAAAAAAAATGATATGGGAAAGTGCAAAAGCCTGTGTCTGCCACTCTAGTGCTCTTGTCTTCTGCCATATTCTTGCGTGTAGAATTTCGAAAAATGTTTTCTGCATGCATAGTATATTCCGAGCGCCGTTAAACTGGAATGAATGGCGTCTATCATAAATATTATGTAATAAAATAAGGTTCGAAAAATGCGTGATCGCACACACAAATGTATATACATGAGCAGCAGCAGCAGCAAGTGTGTTTCCTCGTTTTGCTATCTCTTTCGGTTGCGTTATCAAAAAAATTTAATTTTGACATGGAAGCGTGTTGTGTTGTTTTGTCCGTAGGAACACTTGCATCTCCGTCTCTCACTCGCGTTAAATTATACTGCGTACGTACCAAACATAAATTATACGAACCAATTTTATTAACATTCTGTTACAGTTTTCCCCTTCGTTGCGGAATGATATTTATTCGAAAGTCTTTTCGCCCGTGCACTGGTGAAATGGGAAGGTATCGTATATACATTTCACTTTTCACTTTCCTCCAAAAACATACACTCGCACAGCCTCTTCCATATTTATATCTATTCCTAGTGGATGCCTCTTCTTCACTCCGATTCACGACACGCCGGGCATACCCTACATTGCCTCGTTTGTTATTTTGGATACAAAATGCTCCTTTGTAAATCCTTGACTGTACCTCATTTCATACAATAACACCAATTCTAAATCTGCTGGGCATTTATGAGCGCTTCGGAAATATTGCACGGACTTTTCGAAGGAACCAAATCATTTGTAATTGTATTTTAGCAAATAATACACAAACAATGTTTCACTTGCAACGCTTTTCTTTTTGCAACCGAATATTTTCGCATTGTTTGGATTTTTCGACTGAAAATATGATCTGTGAAACATTTCTCCATTTCTTTTTCAAGTCGAACAAACGAGAAATATCTCTGTCACGAAATTAATCCATCGAAACAGATTCAGCCATTTATGTTCGGTGGCTTGAAATTGTTGCCAGAACTAATAACCTAACTTATTGCCGCAGATGAAATTAATTTTGTTTGGCTTGGAACTCCAACTATTCGGTTCCCCCTATTTAATTCCATTTATGGTTTAATTTCCTCAGTTGCTGTGCCAGAGTCAAAGTGTAACATAAATAACGATATGAATCTGCGCTCAGAGCATGAGCGAGTGCATATAATTGCCTAC